GGTGGCACGAGCACTGGGTCTTTTAGCCACATGGTGGGAACTGGGTGGTGAAAGGCTGTCTGGAGAAGACACCGAGCCTGTGGTGTCTGCTGGGATGATGAGGGGCTGTTTCTGGTCCCCCTGAAAGGCATCTGTGGCTGAGGAAAGCGCTCAGCCTACAGACTGCTGCCCTTCGGGCTGGCTGCTGTACAGGGGCAAGTGCCTCTTCATCTCATCGGAGAAGAAGACATGGGAGGACAGCAGAGATGAATGTGAGAAGAAATACTCTCAGCTCCTGATCACCAAATCCTGGAGTCGCTGGACTGTGCCGGTAGGATGCTGGGGCAGCTGAGGGCGAGAGCTGGAGCATCCAGCCCAGGGCTCCCCCAGCTCAGCCAGCTCTGCCCCTGGAGTGCCAAGACATTTGAGGGTGCAAGGCTGATCTCTGGAGCACATGACTGGTAGTAGACATGAGGAAAAGAGGTTCTGACACCCTGGGATGGTACCCAAAGTTGAGCAAGGCATCCGTGCTGCCCACCTTTCCTGTCCCATCCCCATGGGCTCTGTGGGGAGATCACCACCCCCTGCAAAACCCCATGATACAAAGGCACTGAAAGGCCCTTTTCCTCCTTCCCCAGACCTTCCTGAAGAATGCAGACATCCCATATTGGATTGGGCTGCAGAAGAGCATCTTCCCCTGGTATGACTACGGCTGGCTGGAGGAAGGGGACCCAGATGACAGGGGTGTCTCGGACGCCTGGTTCTGGGTGGATGGCTCCCTTTACGAAAGGTACGTGTCAGCACAGCCTCCTCTCAACCCCCCTATTCTCCATCACGGCTTTACGAAATACTCTAAATCCCACCAGTACCCAGTCCCAGGCACAAGCACTGGGCAACAAAGAGCATTAAAGCAGCTGAGGCCAAGGGTAGGTGGGCACAGTGGTGTGATGAGATGCTTAAATGAGGTGCAAAGCCAAGACTTGGGGGGATATGTGCAGCATATGTGCAAGTAGGAGGCAGTGAGAGGGGACAAAGAAACCAGAAGCCTTATGCGAGGTCTAGACAAAGTGTTCCAGCACCACCTCTATTCCCCATGTGCTTCCCTGCTCCAACCTTGAGGGAAAATCAAGCCTCCAGAGGGTCCTGGGCTGCACCCTGCCATGTGCACCCCTTCCCCAGCTCGCCACCACTTCCTCTTCAGTGTCTGAGAGAAGTGGGGAGGAACAGACCCATCTGGCCAGATGCTGGGTATTCCAGCCCCTGCCCCTCCATCTGCATCCCCACAGTGGGCTCTGCACCCCACTGCAGCCCCACAGCCCAGGGCAGCTCCTCTGGCCCATCCATGTGCCCTCAGGAAGGGCCAGGACCAGGGTTTCTCAGCCTGCCCGAGGAAGGGAGGGATCCATCGGCTGAGGCTTCAGCATGTGAAATCAGTAGGGGAAGACTGGGGTATCCCCCCTGTGACTGGGGCATTCAACCCCTCCTGTGCTGTGAACCCCGCACTGTGGTGTGGAAAAAGGCGGCAGCCGCAGCAGAGGGTGGTGGACAGGGCAGCCCCCTGATGTGCTGTTTCCCCATCCAGGCCGTGGCAGTCGAAGTCGAACGGGTCCTGTGCCATAATAAGCCGCGGGAACATCAAACCTGCCCAGTGCGCCGGTCCCGACGACCTGCACCTCTGGATCTGCGAGAAGGCGGCGGGGCCCAGCAACCCTTTCATGGGATGACGGCTGCTCCAGGACAGACTCTGCCGAGCCTGGGGGGCGCGGGGAGCATGGAGGAAAAGTGGGGACACTATCATGTTGACCCTGTCCCGTGGAAAGGAGATGGATGCAGGCCAGGCAGAGCCTGCCTCCATCCCTTTGCTGCTGCAGGAGCCTTTGGGCTGCAATACCTCGGGAGACTCCACCAAGCTGTAGTGCAGCAAAGGGGCAAGATGGGGGGAACCCCTTTGCAAGCTGTTTTCCCAGCCCCGCTGTGTGCATCTCACTCTCTGCCTTCTCTTGCAGCACCTGCACCCCACACCACCTCTGCTTCAGCCCCACTGCACCCCTGCCTGGGATGCCCCATCCATCCGAGCAACCCACTTCCCTCTCACAGAACCCTGGCCAGGTCCTTCCCAGCGCTCCCCAGTGATGCTTGGACACCACATAGTCTGGGAAGGCAGCAGCAGTGGCCGTTTGCCCCCAGCTGATGTGCTTCAGCAGAGCAGTACAGGCCCCACAGCCCAGCCCCACACCTGCATGGGGAACACTGGGTCTTCCAGAGCACAGGGGCTAGCATGTGATGAGTCCAGCAAGAGCTTAGAGCAGAGCAAGCCCTGATGCTCAGCCCTGCAACACCCCCAGCACAGAGAAGAGATGCAGTGCTTGTACATCAGGACATGGCACTGGGGGGACAGCACAACCCCACAACCGGACAGGTCCTCTCCCCACTGCAGGGACTTCCAGCCTGGCCTCATCACAGAAGTTTGGCCATGGCTTTCACAGAACTCCGCAAGCAGCATCCTCAGCGCCCAAGGAGGGAAGCTGCACCTTAACTGTGCGGGCAGTTGGGGGTTTTTTGCTAATTAGAAATTAGAGCAATGACCTTTATGATTGTACGATGTGATGGTGCTTTGTAAAAGCAACTCTAGCACTTGCACTGGACCGACGTTGTGCAAGACAAGTCATTAGGACTTTAAATAGCTACTACACATGTGCACATGTGAAGATTAAGCAAAATAGCCCTGATGTAACATCGCAGCCAGGCGAGAGCAGAGGAAGTCATGTTCAACCAGGCGAAAATGTTCTCAGTTTATTATGGGGTCGTGTGTGCCATATATAGTTGATTAATTGCTATGTGAATTAGCTTGCTTGAAGAGCAAAACAGTATTAAAGGCAGGCTTTCTGGAAGTGGCATGTGTCACTCCTGTGTCTTGTCCGCTGGCTGAACCCACTTCATGGCAATAAAGAGACATGGCTTGTCTGCTCTTTGCTTTCTTGTGTACCACCACAAACACAGACTCAAGGGCACGAACCCAAAGAACCTAAATAATAAACAGGCATTTGACCAAAGCCATTTCAACCCAGATGGCCACCCTGGGGATACTGAGATCTTAGGCTGAGCCAGGCTGACTTGTGGTCCCCAAGGGGTTCCCCAAAAGCCCCAGCCAAGCCTGCGTAACCTCTTGGGGCCGTGTCAGACATACATCAAAGAGACAGGAGCCCGAGCTGTTGGGACATTCAGTTTTTATTGAACACTTTAAATAAGCTGGGTATATATTACTAGCAATTATTATTATTATTAATAGTAATAAAAACCACAAGAGTTCGGCATTCACCAGTGCATTGTGCGGGAGGAAGGAAAGCTGGCTCCCACCCTTGCCAGGGGCTGGGCAGCTCCTTCCCCCCTCTGCCAGCACCCTGCTCCCAACCCCATGTGCTGGGGGTACACCGGGTGCCGTGCTGGCTCAGCACCCAACCCCAGCATAGGGCAGGCAGGGGCAACCCCAGTGCTGGCAATCATCCCCGTGCACTGCTCCATGTGCATTGCCCCTCTCCTGCTAGCCTGTCCCTGTCTCAGGGGCTGGCTGTGCTCCCCATACTTGTAGGGAAGCATGGGGACACCACCCAGCACCACAAGGTCCCCCAACACACACACATACACACCCTGACCCTCCTTCCCCCAGCCCTGCTCATCCCCTGGGTACAGAAGCTCCCAGTTCTCCCAGGGGAGCAGGCTCACTGTGCACCCCTCCGCAAGAGCCCGCAGCGGGATGAGCCCTTGGGGAAGGGGGGTCCTGCACCCATGGTTTGCGCCCCATGGGGGACCAGCCCTGCCACCCCAGCAGTGCTGGAGGACGCTCCGGGGAGAAAAAAACTTCAGTCCCCGGCAGGGACCCAGCCCACCCCATCGCTCCCCATAGACCCCCAAGAACCATCCTGGTGGATGGATGCTCGAGCGCCTGCGTGGCACGACAGTAGCCACGGCATGGGGCACCGCAGCCACTGGTGGCCACCAAGCACTGAGCTAGTGAGGACAGACCATGGGGAGGCATCAGGCTCCTGTGCTAAGGGATCTGTGGGGCAGCTGGGTGCTCCCCAGGGACCCCAGTATGAGGTCTATGC